TAAGTATGGGGAGAGCGGACAGCCTTGCCTCGATCCTGATTTTAGTGGAATTGCTTTGAGTTTCTCTCCATTTAATTTGATATTGGCTGTTGGCTTGCTGTAAATTGCCTTTATTATGTTTAGGTATGTTCCCTGTATTCCTGATCGCTACAAGACCTTTATCATGAAGGGGTGTTGGATTTTGTCAAATGCCTTTTCTGCATCCAGTGAGATGATCATGTGGTTTTTTTCTTTGAGTTTGTTTATATGGTGTATTACATTGACGGACTTTCGTATGTTGAACCACCCTTGCATCCCTGGAATGAATCCTACTTGATCATGGTGGATAATTGTTTTGATGTGTTCTTGGAGTCTGTTTGCCAGTATTTTATTGAGTATTTTTGCGTCAATGTTCATGAGGGAGATTGATCTGTAGTTCTCTTTCTTTGTTGTATCCTTGTTTGTTTTAGGAATCAGGGTAATTGTAGCCTCGTAGAAGGAGTTTGGTAATGTTCCTTCTGTTTCTATTGTGTGGAACAATTTAGAGAGTATTGGTATTAACTCTTCTTTGAAGATCTGGTAGAATTCTGTGCTGAAACCATCTGGTCCTGGGCTTTTTTTTGGTTGGGAGACTTTTAATGACTGTTTCTATTTCATTAGGGGTTATTGGACTATTTAAATAGTTCATCTGGTCTTCATTTAACTTAGGTATGTGGCACCTGTCCAGAAAGTTATCCATTTCTTTTAGGTTTTCCAGTTTTGTGGAATAGAGGTTTTTGAAGTATGACCGGATGATTCTCTGGATTTCCTCAATGTCTGTTGTTATGTCCCCCTTTTTTTCTGATTTTGTTGATTTGGATGCTCTCTCTCTGTCTTTTGGTTAGTTTGGATAAGGGCTTGTCTATCTTGTTGATTTTCTCAAAGAACCAACTCTTTTTTTTCATTAATTTTTGTATTGTTCTCTTTGTTTCTATTTTATTGATTTCAGCTCTCACTTTGATAATTTCCTGGCATCTATTTTTCCTGGGAGACTTTGCTTCTTCTTGTTCTAGAGCTTTCAGGTGTGCTGTTAAGTCACTAGTGTGAGATCTCTCCAACTTATTTATGTGGGCATTTAGTGCTATGAATTTCCCTCTTAGTACTGCTTTCATAGTGTCCCATAGTTTTGGATGTGTGGTGTCTTCATTTTCATTGATCTCTAGGAAGTCTTTAATTTCTTTCTTTATTTCTTCCTTAACCCATTGGTGATTCAGTTGGGTATTATTCAGTTTCCATGAGATTGTAGGTTTTCTGTAGTTTTTGATGTTGTTGAAATCCAACTTTAGACCATGGTGGTCTGATAGAACACAGGAGGTTATTCCAATTGTTTTGTATCTGTTAGATTTGTTTTGTGGCCAAGTATGTGGTCGATTTTAGAGAAGGTTCCGTGGGGTGCTGAGAAGAAGGTATATTCTTTTTTGTTAGGATGGAATGTTCTGTAGATATCGATTAAGTCCATTTGAGTCATGACATCAGTTAAGTCCTTTATTTCTCTGTTAAGTTTCAATTTGGGAGATCTGTCCAGTGGTGAAAGTGGGGTGTTAAGGTCTTCCACTATTAATGTGTGGGGTTTTATATGTGATTTAAGCTTTAGTAATGTTTCTTTTACATATGTGGGTGCCCTTGTGTTTGGGGCATAAATGTTCAGAATTGAGACTTCATCTTGGTGGATCTTTCCTGTGATGAGTATGTAATGCCCTTCTTGATCTCTTTGGATTGATTTTAGTTTGAAGTCTATTTTGCTGGATATCAGGATGGCTACACCCGCTTGTTTCTTAAGACCGTTTGATTGGAAAGTCTTTTCCCAGCCTTTTATTTTTAGGTAGTGTCTATCTTTGAATTTGAGATGTGTTTCTTTTTTTTTTCTTTTTTTTTTTTTTTTGGTTTTTCGAGACAGGGTTTCTCTGTGTAGCTTTGCGCCTTTCCTGGAACTCACTTGGTAGTCCAGGCTGGCCTCGAACTCACAGAGATCCACCTGGCTCTGCCTCCCGAGTGCTGGGATTAAAGGCGTGCACCACCACCGCCTGGCCGAGATGTGTTTCTTGTATGCAGCAGAAAGATGGGTCCTGCTTTCGTATCCATTCTGTATGCCTGTGTCTTTTTATAGGTGAATTAAGTCCATTGATATTGAGGGAAATTAATGACCAGTGATTGTTCATTCCTGTTAGTTTTTGGTGGTGATGTGTGTGTATTTCTATACGTTGGGGTTTACTGCTGTGGCTTTATCTGTTTCCTGTGTTTTCGAGGGTGTATATGACTTCCTTAGGTTGGAATTTTCCTTCTAGTGCTTTCTGTAGAGCTGGGTTTGTGGATAAGTATTGTTTAAATCTGGCTTTGTCATGGAATGTCTTGTTCACTCCATCTATGGTGATTGAAAGTTTTGCTGGGTATATTAGTCTAGGCTGGCATCCATGGTCTCTTAGTGTCTACATTACATTTGTCCAGGTCCTTCTGGCTTTCAAAGTCTCCATTGAGAAATCGGGTGTTATTCTGATGGGTTTGCCTTTATATGTCACTTGGTCTTTTTCCTTTGCTGCTCTTAATATTCTTTCTTTATTCTGTATGTTTAGTTGTTTAATTATTATGTGGCGAGGGGACTTTTTTTGGGGGTCTAGTCTGTTTGGTGTTCTATAAGCTTCTTGTATCTTCATAGGCATTTCCTTCTTTAAGTTGGGAAAGTTTTCTTCTATGATCTTGTTGAATATATTTTCTGTGCCCTTGAGTTGGTATTCTTCTCCTTCTTCGACCCCTATTATTCGTAGGTTTGGTCTTTTCATGGTGTCCCAAATTTCTTGGACATTTTGGTTCATGACTTTGTTGGCTTTAGTGTTTTCTTTGACTGATGAATCTATTTCTTCTACTGTATCTTCAACGCTAGAGATCCTCTCTTCCATCTCTTTCATTCTGTTGATTATACTTGCATCTGAAGTTCCCAATCGTTTACTCAGATTTTCTATTTCCAGCATTCCCCTAGAGGTAATTTGTATAATATTTTGTCCCATATCTTTTTTTTTTCCATTCCCTAAGAAATTGAGTAAGGCAGAATTAAAAAGTAATTGGCTGATTTCTTGGACAATGTATTGATTCTCTTGGGTGTTTATTACTGATGACTCAGTCACATCTACAGTGGAAAAGAAACAGGTGATGGCAGAAAGAAATAAAGTTAGAATAAAGTTAGTTTTGTAGAGATAAACAGGACTAGGTAGTTTCAAATAACAGTTCTGTGGTAACACAGAAGCAGGAAATTTCAAGAAATTAAACACCATTAAAGAAGTGTTTAACATCTTGAAATGCCCTTCTTGGTATTTGAGGCCTAGGAAGGTACCATAAGGGTAAGACTTCATCCATCTAAGCCTTCAATTTATAGAAGTAATAGACAACTTGATTCCTAATCCCAAGAAGCAGCTTCATATAGGAGCTGCTGTAACTCTGGTCCAAGTGTGGTAGAGTCCATTAGAACTTAGAAGCCAAATTTGGGACAGTAACCCTTATTGTACTGGTTCTGGAAACAAGAAAGATGTAAAATTTATAGGTCATAGGTTTTTCCTCTGTGATTTCAATTTCACTCATCAGCCAGTATCCTTCTTGTACTGTAATGTCATTACCACCATTATAGACTATGCTTAAATCACATAACATACAGAAGAAGCAATTGCTATTCATGGTATGCCAGTAGGCTTGCCTACTGTTTTAATTTTTTGTTTGTCTGTTTTTGATGACAAGAATTGCCCGTGTAGCCGCTGTTGTCATGAAAGTAGCTCTGTATACCCAGCTAGCCTTGAACTCAAGAGACCCCCCCCTTACTCTGGCATCCAAGTGCTTGGACTAAAGGTGGGCAAAAATCTCTGGCTTTTTTGTTTTTATGTTATTGGGTTATGGGCCTGGAGTTCTTGTAATTGTCAGACATGCTGTGGTACTGAACTTCACCTCCTATCCTGAATTTTTAAAGTTGGAAGATGGTATCATTTTGCTTCCCAGGATGACATGTATTCAAGACATTAATACTGCCTGAGACTTCTGTCATCAGATTGCAGGTGCATGACATTCTTCTTTCTTGTTGTATTAGTTTTGATTTTTTTTAACATATATGAATATTTTACCTGTATGCATGGATATGCACCACATTGGTACCTGGTTCTGACAGTGATCAAAAGATGGTCTCAGAAACCCTGAACTAGGAATAATGGATAGTTTTGATCCCCTATATAAATAATGGCAATTGATTCCTCCTATATGCAAGACCAGTAAGAGCTCTTTACTACTGAGCCATTTCTCCTGCTCTGTGTTGATGATTTATTATCAACATTTATATTGCTAATGTTTTTATCTGTCTATTTGTAACTGTTTAAACATTCAATGCCTTTTAGTAAGATCTTATTGATGTTACAGATTAAAGTGGGACAATTCAGTTTTCTCAAAGATACATGCAGAAGTGGAGTGAATGAATAACTCTTTGTAGAAACTTCTGCAAATCACCTCTGAGTTCCTTTACTTTTTTGTTTGTTTGACTGATTTGGGCACAGGAGACAGGGTCCCAATATGTACTGCTGACTGTCCAAGAACTGATTGCATATACTGGGTTAGCATTCAACTCAGAGGTAGATCTACCAGCCTCTACCTTCTGAGTGCTAGGGTTAAAGGCATGAGCCAATATACCCAGCTTGCCCTTCTTACTTTTTTTTGTCCTTAGTAAAATAACTTCTCTTATGTGTAGTCTGTACTGATCATCTGTTTATTTGTCTCTCTACATTAAAAGGCATTTCTGTTGCAAGGTCATATCCAATTCAAAGGGTACAAAAAGGACAAAGATGATCCTCCTATTCAGTTTCATTCTAGAGTGACTTGGTGAATAGATTATAATGTTTGTGTCATGGAATAAGTGGGTGGAGCACCAGAATTATATGACTACACTGTCAAAGAAGTATCCATTTACAATGTTGTCAGTATCATGCTTTCTGTTGTACACATATGGGATATTTTAGAATGCAGTGACCTATGATGATGTGCATATTGACTTCACTTGGGAAGAATGGACTTTGCTTGATCCCTCCCAGAAGAATCTCTACAAAGATGTGATGTTGGAGACCTACAGGAACCTTACCACTGTAGGTAAGACTGGATTTTCCTTCATGTAAAATAAGGGAACAACTAACCCTTGAGTATCTGTGCTTTCTGTAATTTGATTGAGAAAGAAGAATGAGGTGAATTAATCAGGTCTGGTTCTAAGGTTCCTTGAAGATAGTAACTTAAATTTGCACAATTTTTCAATAATATAACACACATTTTCTGAAACTAAATTTTAGGATACAGCTGGGAAGACCATCATATTGAAGAACATTGTAAAAGTTCTAGAAAACATGAAAGGTAATTTTTATTTGCAAACTGATACAAATATGCCTTTGAAGAAATTGCAGTATGTCCCGGAAGTTTGAAAGAAAAGCAATAATGTAGTATAAATAATCACAGCTTAAAATGCATTGATGATTATTAAATTCTCACAACACAATATAACCCAACTTCAGGCAGATGAATTACATTTACAAGGCATTCTTTTAAGAATGAAGACAAGAAAACAATGCCTTAACAGATATCACCATTGGAATCAAAGCCCCATGAATGCTATGCTTGTAAAACTGCCAATGCATTTCATTTCATACCACTCATATTACAAAAAGGTAAGCACAATGAAGAGGTGATAAGTACATGTCAAAAACCTCCTAATAAGCAAATAGTCCATAATGAAGCTAGTGTTACTCATTTACTTGTTGTAACTTTGCTAAATTTAGTGAAAGAGTTACTTAGAGTCAATAGTCAAGGGCCATTGTTGAGAAACCTTAATCTCTATATCACATGTCTATGAGAAACAGAAATTCAAACTGTGAATTCAATGTGGAAACCTTTTTTTTTTCATTCTCCTTTTACTATGTGTATCATATGTCTCTCTGGATACAAGCCACATGAATAGGGAGATGGAAAGATGTAACATACCTCTCAGAACAATTATAATATTTGTAGACGTCCCCACATTTAATATACTTATACACTTGATTCATGTAATTGGCTTTCCACCTTCACTGTAGTATGTAGTATGACTCACAGTATAAGAAAATTTATGAAAGCAGTAAGTGCGTTAAAGATGGGTTTTTCCAGTTTTATTGAAATATGTGATAAATCTCCTATAGAAAAAGGTCCTGTAAATGTGAACCATGTAACAAAGACTCTTACTATCACAGGTATCTTCAAAGATGCAGAACAACTCCTAATAAAGGGAAACAACATGAGTGCAAAATTAGTGATAAAATTTTAAGACCTGATTCCTTTTTACAACTGGAACAAATTGTAAAACTAATTCATTCAGGTATAAAGATTCAAGAGAGTATCGAATGTGGCAAAGCCTTTACATATGCCAATTATTCTTGCAGGCATGAAAGAATTCCTACTGGAGAGCAACCTTCTGAATCTACTCAATCTTTTACAGCCTTTGCTCATCACTGTACTTCTCAAAGGCATAAAACAACACATACTGGAGAGAAACAGTATGAATGTGATCAGTGTGGTAAAGGCTTTGTGTATTACACTAATCTTCAAAGTCACAAAAGAACACATACTGGAGAAAACACTTATGAATGCAATCAGTGTGGTAAAGCCTTTGCAGACCAAAGAAGACTCCATATACATAAAAGAATACATATTGGAGAGAAGCCCTATGGTTGTAATCAGTGTGATAAAGGATTTTCACAACTCAGTGTTCTTCAAGTGCATATGAGAACACATACTGGAGAGAAACCCTATGAAAGTAATCAGTGTGGTAAAGACTGTTCACAATTTAGTCATCCTCAACTGCAAGAAAGAACACATACTGTTGAGAAAGCCAATGAATGTAATCAGTGTGGTAAAGTCTTTGCACGTCCCAGTGATCTCAAAATGCACAAAAGAACACATACTGGAGAGAAACCCTATCCATGTAATCATTGTGGTAAAGCCTTTGCGCGTCATAACAGTCTCCAACTGCACAAAAGAACACATACAGGAGAGAAACCCTATGAATGTAATCAGTGTGGTAAAGCCTTTGCAAATCAAAGAAGACTCCAAATACATAAAAGAATACATACTGGAGAGAAGCCCTATGGTTGTAATCAGTGTGGTAAAAGATTTACACAATTCAGTGTTCTTCAGGTGCATAAAAGAACACATACTGGAGAGAAACCCTATGAATGTAATCATTGTGGTAAAGGCTTTTCACAATTCAGTCATCTTCAACTGCATGAAAGAACACATACTGGAGAGAAACCCTATGAATGTAATCAGTGTGGTAAAGGTTTTGCACGCCCCAGTGGTCTCCAAATGCACAAAAGAACACATACTGGAGAAAAACCGCATGAATGTAAACATTGTGGTAAAGCCTTTGCTACTCACAACAGTCTTGGAATGCATAACAAAACCCATACTGGAGAGAAACCTTATGAATGTAATCATTGTGGTAAAGCTTTTACTCAGCACTATATTCTTCAAAGGCATGAAAGAACACATACAGGAGAGAAACCGTATGTATGCAATCAGTGTGGTAAAGCCTTTGCACGTCACAGTGGTCTTGAAATGCACAAAAGAATACATACTGGAGAGAAACCCTTTGAATGTAAACAATGTGGTAAAGCCTTTGCCCGTCAGAGTAGTCTCCAAATGCACAAAAGAACACATACTGGTGAGAAACCCTATGAATGTAATCAGTGTGGTAAGGCCTTTGCAGAACATAGAAGTCTCCAAATACATAAAAGAACACATACCGGAGAGAAACCTTGTGAATGTAATCAGTGTGGTAAAGCCTTTGTATGTCATAATCATCTCCGAATACACAAAAGAACACATACTGGAGAGAAACCCTATGAATGTGATCAGTGTAGTAAGGCCTTTGTAAGTTCTAGTCATCTTCGAGTACACAAAAGAACACATACTGGAGAGAAACCTTATAAATGTACTCAGTGTGGAAATGCCTTTACCCTTCGAAGTCATCTTCAAAGGCATACAAGAACCCATAGTAGAGAGAAACCCTATGAATGTAAACAGTGTGGTAAAGTCTTTGCTCATTACAGTTCTCTTCTAAGGCATAAAACAACACATACTTGAGGCAAATCCTTTGAATTTTATCTCTGTGTTAAAGCCTTTATATATCACAGTGATCTTCAAAGGCATAAAAGAACCCATACTAGAGATAAACCCTATAAATGGGATACGTGTGGTAAAGGCTTTGCATGTCATATTAATAGAATATATAAAAAAACACAGACTTGAGCAAAACCATATGAAGGTTGTCAATGTAATAAAACCTTGGCATGTTTTGGTAGTATTAGAAATCACAAGTAAAACTCATAGAGAAACACTATGAATGTAGTCATGAAAAAGTTTTGCTCTTCATACAGGAGTAAAACTTTTTGTCTGCAATCAATCTGTTAAAGCCTTTGAGTATTACAATAGTCTTTGAATAATTGAAAAAAATACTGAGGCCTTTTTATTATAAATCATTTGATAAGATCTTTAGCCAACACCCTTACCTTCCGTTACACAAGAATCGAGAGTGTCAAGCATTATGATGTCTGTGTTTATATTGTTGAACCTGAAACCATGGGAAAATGAATTCATGAAGCCTCATGAATTTCAATGATAACATAACTCTTAGATTTAGATTTACATTTCATACTTCTCTTCAATTATATTTAATAAGTAGTTCAGTTGTAAAACTTTATGGATTTGTATTAGTGCCTTTTCTGCTTTTGTTATATAATGTCTACGTCAGCTTGTAAAAAGAGTTTAGTTTGGCCCTTGGTTCCAGAGGGATACAGAATCACCATGAAAGTGGCATGGCAACAGGTATTGGACATGGCATCCTAAGTAGGAAGCTAGGAACTTGTGTCATCCACCTACAGCATGAAGTAGAGATTGGGAAGTGGAAATGATGTGCAGAAATTCTCAAAGCCTTCCACCAGCAATATATTTCCTCCAGCAGGGCAGCATTCCCAAAATCTCCTCATATGATAACACCAGCTGAAAAGGATTGATAACTCTGACTTGAATCCTGAATTCTTGTTTTCTGTTAATGAACCTATTCATATAGTCAAAAAACTCTGTAAGTAACCCTTTAGATGCCTCAACACCTAAGTTAAGGAAATGAATGCTTAAAACAGAAAGCTTCCATGATTAAAAAACTGTTTCAATTTCAATTATGTGATGCCAGTGTGTGCTTGTGTGTGTATGTGTATGCTGATTCCCAAGAAGATTAGACCTTTGGATCTTCTTGTAGCAGGAATTTTAGGAAGTTGTCCCAAATTGGACCCTGGTCCTGGGATTGAATTTTTCGTAACTCTCTAGCCAGGTCTCTATCCTGGCAAATATTAAAAAGCCTATTTACATCATTTTGATGTCAGGAAATAGGGACAAACTTAAGAGAAAAACCCTGTGTAAATGATTTGATAAAGACTTCAGACATCACAGTTGTCTTCAGTATCATGGAAAAAAACCCTTTTTTATTTCTTTTTTGTCATTGTCTTTGTTTTTTTAGAATTTTTTTTTTAAACTTTATGTGCATTGGTGTGAGGGTGTCAGATCTCCTGGAAGTGGAATTACAGACAGTTGTGAAATGCCATGTGTGTGCTGGGAATTGAACCTGGGTCCTCTGGAAGAGCAGCCAGTGGTCTTAACCGCTGGGCCATCTCTCCAGCCCCCTCATCATAGTCTTGAAGTAAGTACATTACCATGTTCACTCAAGACTGCCAGTGGAGATCATTACCTTTTGATTTTTATTTTGAAACATTTATGGTATTTACTGATGTGTGCTATATGTGTGGCAAATCCATTTAATGAAGTTTATTTTGTTACCCTTATATTCTTTCTCTGGAATTTTTTAACTTCTCTTGTGCTTTTACTTAGTAATAGGTATTTTCTGTTTTAATGGATGAATGGGATGCCCTTCATCTAAGTCGTCCATTGTTTATATAAATATCAGGCAATGTTTGATAATACTTTTCAAGTAAGTGTGTGTGTGTGTGTGTGAGAGAGAGAGTGAAAGGCTGGTGGGTAGTTGTTCCTGCTTTTGTTTCTTTCATATTTTCACCAATTCACTTGAGATTTTGTTGTTTGTTATTCAGCCTGGCTTGGATGTCAGTAATTACTCAGTCCAAGGGTAGATGATATACTCCCAATGAGTGCTATTTTGTAAACACTATATAACAGTGTTAATGTTAAAATGAGACTGTAAGAAACATTAAATACCTCATGTGTTTTTAAGCTGTATTTTCTTTTATCTGATAGAGATGTAATAAATGAGAATAATCAATCAAATGTGTATCAAATATCATACATTGTTGTGCTATGCAGATATATACATTTATGCATATGTGTATATATATGTATATAATGTATATTCCATTCTTATTCCTGTCCCCATTAGTTAACCACTTGGCATTTCATCTTGAAGTACTGCCTTTGCCTTCTAAGGGATTTCTCGAGAGATGCCAGATAATATAATAGCAATAAGATATGTTTTTAACAAACATTGATAGTATGTGTTTAATGTGATTATGGCTTTGTGAGCCATGGCAGAATAGCATTGGGAGGGCTCCTGGTCACTAAAGCAGTCACCCCAAGTTTATTCTTCATGGGATTTTTATCCATCAGCAAAGAGAGAGGCAAAAGACTGTAGATGTAATTCAGTTTAGATGTAGCCAACGGTTTTATCTGACAAGAAACACAGAGCCAATTCAGAGAAGAAAGCCAAGAGGTCAGAGCCAAGAGCCTCACCCTTCCTGATTCAGGGATCCTCCTCAGCCAAGAGAGCTCTCCGAAAGAGAGCCCTACTTCCTGTGTGTCTGTCTCTATAGTCTCCTTGTTCTGGCTTCTCATTGGTTGTAAACCCAATCATGTGACTGCCTCGTCACTGCCTGTATGTACCGCCCTCCAGGTCCTTAAAGGTGTACGCCACCACTGCCACGCACTTGCTATGGCTCTAATAGCTCTGACCCCCAGGCAACTTTATTTATTATACCACCACATTTCCCCTTTTCTAATTTAATAAAAAAGAAAAAAAAGAAAAAGGTTATAACTAACAAAAGAAAAACTACATACAAAAGTACAATAACTATACACAATATATACAAGTAATAAATGTCTAAATAATTTCTAGTCCATTCTTCTTGGCTGTGTATATATGGCTTCATCTCAGCATCCCGATCTTCACATCCCACTGTCAAATGCCATATTCTGTAGATCTCCGAAGGGTTTGAAGATGACCTGTCTAAAATATATCTGCTCAATTTTTAAAACATATCTAATATGACTACAAGTTCCATTGTAATGTCTAACTACTAACTCATTTCTCTATATCCTAATAGTTGGTAATAATAACATTCAAGGATCAGAAAATTGCATTGTTAAATGAACGGTATAAGTACAATTAGAAATATACATATAGCATTTTCTAACAATATCAATTCCAACATATATAACTTGTATACAATATAAAACAATCCAATCCAATGTAAAATATTTAAAACTAGTAATTGTCTTTTTCTTCTTCTTTCTTTCTTTCTCTCTTTTTTTTAAACAAGAACCTTAAATCTAATCTCCTTTGCTTAGCCTTTTTCCTAACCCTTGACAACAACTTGCAACCAACCCCCTAAACAAGGAAAATTATCCCAGACCCAAAACCCATTAAAAAGACCAAAAACCACCTGCCCCACACCACCTCTTTGGGAATGTGGACGTCGTATCCTTAAAATTGCTTCCTGCTGGGTATGGGCGAAGTTATCTTTATCCTGAAAGAAAAATTTTAGGTTAATTGTCAAATTCTAGGAAAGGTAACCATATCCTTCATTATCCAGTCTGTGTATAATGCCAAAGTTCAGGGTTTATCTCAAGTCCTTATTCAAGTAGTCTTTGAGACTGGATCATCTCAGCTAGTCATCTCAAAATTACTCTGAGCACCTTGTAGTTCAAAGCTGATCAGTTGTCTCATTTGTCCAGTGCTCTTCAGATTCCTTAACCTTCATTCTCCTAAAAGACAAAACCAAAAACCTTTCCCCAAGACTAATTTTGGGGATGTTCCTTTTTGGCAAGTTATTATCTGATTAAATGAAAAGACATGCATTACTGGTATAAGTTAGTTTAAATTGGATGTTCATGTTGGTTGATGAACTATCACCTCCTCTAATTAAGAGGTTTCTATTGTTCAAATCGAACCTTTATCAATTTTGATGGTACCCACGACTTATCTTCTCCTGTAGAAGCAAAAGCAAAACCTCGTCCCCAACGTAACACATACCCTGGTTTCCATTCTGAGGTCAGCACATCCTTAAAGTATATAGGCTGATTTAATTCTGTAGTTTTTTCTATTATCCAATGTCTCTCTGCAGCTGTTGTTCCTTTCTCATTGGCATTAAGAAAATTCAAAGTTAATAGAGCATTATGCAGTCTGTTTCTGGGGGTTTTTGTTACCCCTTTCTGTTTATTTAGCATATCCTTTAGAGTTCTGTTTGAAATAGAAGTTTGCTAAAAAATTTTCTTTATGTTTTTTCCTGAATTTTCTATTCTCTCTGTTTCATCATCCTGACCAGCATGACTTATTCCAATAGGCATTTGGTTATTTAATTGCTCTGAGTAGGGATTTCCTCTACGACTGCAGGAATGGTTTGAACTGGATTTGCTATTGGGGCCTGCATGAGGCCCCTCTGGGAGTTTCCCGAAGACTGAGGCAAAGGATTACCCTGTCTGTCCCTTGTTGATCTACATTCATTGGTCCAGTGTTTTCCCTTACCACACCTTCTGCATACTCCAGAAGGAAGGGGCAGTCTGTTGCCATTGTTCCTTGAGGAAACATTGTTTCTAGGAATGACCTGTTTACAGTCCCTTTTCAAATGTCCTTGCTTTCCACATCCAAAACATCTTACATTCCTCAAACCTTTTGAAATTGCTTCTCCTACCCACGTATCATCATGCTCATGAGTTTCAACATTAACCGTGTCTCTAATCCAATCTTCCAAAGGTGCAGATCTTGCCTTTAACGGCCTGATTATTGTTTTGCATGCTGCATTCGCATTCTCAAAAGCCAAAGTTTCAATTATTATCTTACCAGCTTCTGAATCCGGGACCATTCTCTTTACTGCTGAAGCCAGGCTTTGTAAAAAATCTGTGAAAGATTCTTTTGGGCCTTGTACAACCTTTGTAAATGACTCAGTTTTTTTTTCCTGGTTCCTCAACTCTGTCCCATGCATTCAAGGCTGCTGTTCGACATAAAATTAAGGTTTGGACATCATATAAACATTGTGCTGGTGCTGAAGCATATTGACCTCCAATAAGCTGATCCTGGCAGACTTGTATTCCTTTATCCCTCCACTGTTTTTCTATGTTTTTAGCTTCATCCTTGAACCAAGTTAGCCACTGAAGCCTTTGACTGGGTTCCAGAACAGCTTGTGCCAGCTCCCGCCAATCCTGTGGTACAATCCTATTATATGTTGACCAAGAGTTTAACATTCGCTTTACATATGGAGAATGCATGCCATAAGATACTATTGCCTCCTTAAACCTTCGTAAATCTAACATTTCGATTGGAGCCCAAATATTTTGTGTAGTCATTTGATCAGGCAACTGCTGTACGGTTACTGGACAAACTAAGGGTGACTGTGTGAAAACAGGCTTTCTTTCTGTAACCCTATGATCCAATCTTGAAGCAACTTCACTGTTAGTTTCTTCTGTCTGAGTTTTTACAGGTGTATCAAATTTTTCTAAAGCTGTCACCCTGGCACTTAAATTGACTATCTTCTTAAATAGTAAAATAAGAATAAATATAGTAATAAAATGCATAATTCTATCAACATTAATCTTCTCATATAGCTGTTTCATTGTCAGACTGTCTAAAATTGTAAACAAGGCCCAATTTTCTTCCAATGAACACAGAAAGCCCTTTTTTTTTTTAAAATGTGAAGAAAAAATTCTCTGTTAAATAGTTTCCTTTAAAATATTGGATAACTAAGTCCTCGTAGAACAGTACAAATCCGAGGGAATTTCAAAACAGCCACCTAGTGTCCGAGGTGTGAATCCAGCTCAGCAGTTAAATGGTTTTTAACGGATTCTTGTCACGTTGGGCGCCAAATGTAGATGTAATTCAGTTTAGATGTAGCCAACGGTTTTATCTGACAAGAAACAGAGAGCCAATTCAGAGAAGAAAGCCAAGAGGTCAGAGCCAAGAGCCTCACCCTTCCTGATTCAGGGATCCTCCTCAGCCAAGAGAGCTCTCCGAAAGAGAGCCCTACTTCCTGTGTGTCTGTCTCTATAGTCTCCTTGTTCTGGCTTCTCATTGGTTGTAAACCCAATCATGTGACTGCCTCGTCACTGCCTGTATGTACCGCCCTCCAGGTCCTTAAAGGCGTATGCCACCACTGCCACACACTTGCTATGGCTCTAATAGCTCTGACCCCCAGGCAACTTTATTTATTATACCACCACAAAAGACTTCCCCTTTTCAAAGACACAATGGCTCAAAGTACAAACAAGTGTAAACACCCCCTTAATTCTCAAAATATCTAGTATCCACTCCTTATGGAAAAACATACTGTAATTAGGCCTAGAAGTATAATACACCTGGTAACCATGCCTTTGGCCAAAACATCCTATTATTCAACCATATGGGGCAAAACAAGCATAGCATCCCTGACCTTGAGCCAAAATTAAATAAGGTCACACTATGGAGACTCTGTGGCCCTTACATCATTTCTGCCTCTAAGCCCTGAGATATTCCCATCACTGTTTTCTAATTAATGGCCTCTTTTTACTTTAACAGCAGTTACTGTTTGAATGTGACCTATGTTTAGCTGACGGACTTCCTAACTAGGAAGCAAAGGGTTGGCTTTACTAGTCACTGACTATGTAATGGAATTATGGATACAAGGGACACCATATCTTGGAATGGGAAATTGAATTGCTCTGACAAACTGGAAGACTTTCTACAAAATAGAAATTTAATCACACTAGAGCCCTCTCTGCCCCTAGAATGGAAGGGCTGAACTGGGAAGGCTTATACTGACTCAATCATTAGATTTCTGTTCATCTAGTAGAGAAGCTGCTATTGTCCTGAGACCCAACAGGGTGATACTAGCTATTGAGGGTCTATGGGCAAGCTTAGCAATAAGGAGCACCAGTGGGAGGTATATTTGTGTTTTTGTTTGTTTGTTTGTTTGTTTGTTTTTCTAGAGTTCTTCTCTGGTGTTGCTTTAGGGAGCTATGAGGATCACCATAAACCATGATATGGTGAGTGGGGAGTACATGGTATTCTGTGCAGGATAAGCATGTTTGCTGCCCTATCAGATATACTGGAGTTAAAGGCCCATGAGACAGTCTAGTTCTGTTGGTCCATGTGTTGACTTGGCAAGTGGCCCTTGAACTTTAAGCCTCCCTGTGTGTGCATTCCCTAGGGACAGGGAGGCTGTGCAAACATGTCCATTGAAGATGTGTTGTTTAAAGTATCACTCTCCAGTGTGTACACATAGGCATTGCCTTTGGTGTGCAGTAGGAAGACAGATTGAAAAACTGAAGGTCTTGTGTGTAGAAATTCTCAACATTGCATTCCACATTCAGTTTTACATTATAAGCCATCATTCAGAAATATTTGTTTAGAATGCTTTAACTTTCCTCTATCACCAGCCACAATGGCATGATTCAGGGAAATTAAATTCCAGGGAACAAATGGAATTTCTGAGCTGTGAAGGTATCTTTGGTGTTTATGGGGTTGGGCAGGTGGGTAGGCCAGATTCCACATTTTGTGCATTGATCTATATGTCAGGAAGCACACATTCTTCAAATTTGTTTTGGTGTTTTGACATCAGTTAGTTTAGTTTTTGCCTAAAACCACAATGGGGAATAAAGGGATACATGGCTATAGCCAACCTTTTTGATCCACTTCAATTTCCAGAGAGAACTCTTAGAGCATGGGACCTCTCTATTTGGAAGAGGAATCAGTAGTAGCTGGAAGATCAAAAATATAGCAGTTTAGGCATCACTTTGAGTTACTATTGTGGGAGTTGTGAAGTATATGTTTATTTAATTTCTATACACATAAAATCATAAGTAACATTGATTAAGTTCCTTTTTTTTTTTTTGTAAATTTTTCTTGGTTCAGTTTCCTTAAGTCTTTTGATGAAAGCTTGACTATATTTTTGTGGTTTTGATTTTGACTTTTTCTCTATCTCCTTATTCTCTCAGAAATATTGTACACATTCTTGATTGTTGTAGATTTGTGTTAGGTATAAAAGTCACATGTCAACATGTGTACCTTTTTTTCCTTAATCCTATTGAGAATTCTGAGTTTATCTACATGGAACATAGCTTTGGAATGGGCTTTCTGGTTATAAGTTACTGGGAATTTTCTGTGTATTTTATTAACTTTATGCTCTAAATTGAACATACCCAACATCTTTTTGTTGTTATTGATAATATAATAGTGTTCTTTGCAAAACTATAAAATGGCAAAAGATATTATTCTATATAATCATTTGTTTAGCAAACTACAGTAACTCTGACAATGAAACTGATTTGAAACAATGAACAAAGACATAGAAAGTGGGCTACAGTAGTTTCATGACATAGAATGCATTGTTATGTTATAAAAGATATCCTATTGAGATAGCAAAAAGAATGAAAGTGAAACATGCTCCAGAATTTATCAACGAATATGAGTGTGACATGTGATTGTACAGTAGCATGCAAAGTAAATTTTTTTTTTTTTTTTGGTTTTTCGAGACAGGGTTTCTCTGTGTAGCTTTGCGCCTCTCCTGGAACTCACTTGGTAGCCCAGGCTGGCCTCGAACTCACAGAGATCTGCCTGGCTCTGCCTCCCGAGTGCTGGGATTTAAGTCATGCGCCACCACCATCCGGCCTGCAAAGTAAATTTTGATAATAGTAGTTTGGAATTTTCTACAGATATCAACTAAAATTAGCTAAAATCATGTTTCATTGTAATAGTTGATATAAAATCACACATATTGTATGTATTCTGATGCATTTGGACACATTACCTACACCCAGGCAACCCAGTTACTAAAACAACAGAAAACCATGTTCTTCAGGCATTCTCTTTCCATGTGGTGATGTGTGTTTATAGTATACAGAGTTCTCATAAAATGATAGAATTGCTATGGATTCCAGCATTCTTCTCAATATATTTTCTATACAATTAAAATTAGTATTAACAAGTATCAGAATTTTTATGCTCATAGCTGCTATATTGATGGCAGTCAAAATATGAAAATAACCTAAATTTTCTTTTTATTTTTTCTTTTTGGTTTTTTGAGACAGGGTTTCTCTGTGTAGCTTTGTGCCTTTACTGGATCACGCTCTGTAGACCAGGCTGGCCTTGAACTTACAGAGATCCGCCTGGCTCTGCCTCCCAAGTGCTGGGATTAAAGGCGTGCGCCACCACCGCCTGGCTGAAAATGTAACAAAGTTTCATTTGTTGATGACAAGCTTGGGGCTTCAAGAAGACAAAGTGCTAAATGAATAAAGAAAATAGCAATGGCTAAAGGATTATACACTTATAAAGGACTCACAGTCAGTGCTTTATTGGCCATGAAACTGCATATAGTAACAACTTGTGCTGTGTTACCTCACTTCTTAGTCCCACCTGATTTTCTGATTTTCATCTTTAATGCACTCTCAGTTGTCAAGGTGATGTGAGCTCCAGGCATCTTGTCTATACCACAGGTGGCAAATGAAAATTAAGGGCAGCAAGAAGACAGAATCTAGTGAAAGCAATCTCTTTCAGAGGGTTTTCCCAACATTTATTTAGTTAGGTGGAGAACTATGAAACATCAAGCTTTTTGTAGCAAGAGTTAGTATGGAGATGAGATGCAATTGAGCTATTGAAATTTGTAAAAATGCAAAATTTTGCTTTATTTCAATGTAATGAGAGCTTTCTGCTAGTGATTCATACTACATGAAAAGGTAAAAGTGAGGTTAAGAAACAGACTGATTTGTTTTAAATTAAATAATGACAATAAATTATAGTCTAACAAATATGTTATATGCTTAGACAATAACTCATCTGTTTGTTTTCTTATCAAATAACCTTTCTTAAATGGTAACACATTCATTTTTACATTGGAGGATGTGCTTAAACATTTAACATTTTAATGTGTCAGTCTTTATATGTTTAATGTATGATATAATTTATGTAGCATTACTTTATTACATTTTATATGTATTCATATATTTTAAATATTTATTCACATGTCAGTTTCCTTAATGAAATCAAGAGTTTTTTTAGATTTAAATGAGCAATAACCTCTGTAATTCTATAATCCAAAGTAGTAAAAGATAACACAAGATAATGATCTCTGTTTGTTTCCTGCATGACAGGAATATTGTCACATTGCTGACAATAAAAATTCTCATTTCACAGATCTGGACAAGGCCTAATAATGAGCTTGAAATAAACTCCTATGTTATGGTCACCATCTACACACACAGAACAAGAACTATATGTTTCTGTCCCTTTCTTCACTACATTACTTCTCTTTTTTCATGATTGATTCCTTCCTTGTTTGCATTTTCAGTTAGAAAATATTTACTTCTTTATTAATTGAAAATAGATTATTCTCTCACACAATACATTCTAATCAGAGTTTCTCCTTCCTCCACTCCTATAACCTGTCCACCTCCCCTCTTCCCCAGATCTACTTCCCCTCTTTTGTTTCCTCTTTCGGAAAAAGCAGACCTCCAAGAGAGAATATACAAACATGACCAAACAAGATACAGTAAAATTCAAAACAAAGCAAAACCTTCACATTGAGGCTGCAAAAGGCAAGGCAATAGCAGGAAAAGAGTCTCAAGCACAAGAAAAATTCAAAATGATACCTGCTACCTCTGTTAGGATTCCCATATAACACTAAGCTAACAGTTATATATGCAGAGTGCCTGGTGCAGACCCATGTAAACCCCATAATTGCTATTTGAGTCTCTGTGAATTTGTGGTCATCCATGTAATGTAAGGCATGGGTCCCCTCCCATGGTATAGGCCTAAAGTTAAACGAATCATTGGTTGGACCCTCTCACATGTTTTTGCATATCTTGCAGGCAAGACAGTATAATTGGCGGGTTTGGTAGCTGGGTTGGTGTCCAGATTGCTCTTTCTGTAACCTCTAGAGTATCTTGTGTCAAGGAGACTAGAACATAGGCATGAAAGCTCCAAGGCTGCACCTGTGCAACCTCTGTACATTCAGTGAGCCGTGTGGAAGTTATCTTGGGAATTGAGTCCATGCTGTCATTTTTCAGAGAGCAACCTCTCCTGGCCTTAGTCTGGATCATTTAGGGATCTTTAGAAATCAGCCAACAACTTCACTTTACGAAACCAGGTACCACCATTACTAGTAGTCCTCACTAGATTCACCCTCACCAATTCCTGGAAGTTACCAGTGCGCTAGGTTTCCACATTAACCCTTAATTGCCCCCCTAATTCCATGTGTCTGTCTCTGCACTGTTTCTCCATATACACACCTGATCCCTCTTGTTTCTGCTCTCATTCACTACCAAGCCCACCCACAGAATCTATTATATTTACCCTTTCTAGAATCCATAATTCACTCCTATAGCTCTCCTCTATACTGAACTTTTCTGTGTTTGTTGACTGAAGCTTGATTAACATTTACCTAATAGCTAATAACTATGTATTAGTGAATACATACTACATTTGTCTTTCCAGTTCTGGATTAGGTTAACTCACTCAAAATGATTTTAGTCTAGTTGTATCCATTTGCCTATAAATGTCATGATGTCCTTATTTTTAACAGCGAATTAATACTCCATTGTGTAAATATACCACATTTTCTTCATCCATTCCTTGTTTGAGAGATGTCTAGGTTGTTTCCAGGTTGTGGCTATTATAAATAGAACTACTGTGAAAATAGTTGACCAAGTGTTCTTGTGGTATGACTGAGCATCCTTTGGGTGTATGTCCAAGAGTGTTATAGCTGGGTCTTGAGGTAGATTGATTCTGAGTAACTGCCATATTGATTTTCATAGGGTTGTAAAAGTCTACTCCCATCAACAATGGTAGAGTTGCTCCAAATTCTCACCAACATGAGCTGTCACTTGTGTTATTGCTCTTAGCTAGTCTGATGGGTGTGAGATCAAATCTCAGAGTTGTTTTGATTTGTATTTCCCTAAGGGCTAACAGTGTTGAACATTTCTTTAAGTTTTTCTTATTTTTTCTTTTTTTATTCAGAAAATTTATTTGTTTTACATTCCAACCAGAGAACCTCCTCCCCTCCCTCTTCCCAACCCCCAGCCTTTCCTCTCAAAGCCACCCTCCATCCCCACCTCCTCAAAGGCAAGACCTACCTTGGGGAGACCGCAGAACCTGACATACTCATTTGAGGCAGGTCCAAGCTCCTCCTCCTGCATTAAGGCAGTGTGAGGTGTCCCACCATAGGCAGTGGACTCCAAAAAGCCCACTCATGCACCAGGAATGGATGCTGACCCCACTGGCAGGGGACCCTGTAAGCAGATCAAGCTATACAACTGTCTTGCCTATGTACAAGGCCTAGTCCAGTCCCATGAAGGCTCTACAGCTATTGGTCCACAGTTCATGAGTTCTTACTACTTTGGTTTAGTTATCTTTGTATGTTTCCCCCTCATGATCTTGATGCCCTTTGCTTATAGAATCTCTCTTCTCTCTCTTATACTGGACCCCTGGAACTTGGTCGGCCTGGTGCTTGGCTGTGGTTCTCTGCATCTGCTTCCATTGGTTACTGGATGAAGGCTCTATGATGACAGGGTATTCATCATATCATACTGATTGGTTGCAGTGACTGTGAAATTAATAATTGATGGGGGAAGTTTCTTCCACTGAGGCAAGTAAGGCCAAAAACACTGGGCCACGCCTTAAGGACATGTGCAGAGGACACTCTGGCCAGGAGAAACCTGACCCATAAGCTCCAGACCAAAATCTGATAACATGCAGCCCAGAGCCAAACAAGGCATGCCAAACCAGCTGGAAGCAAAGCCTGCCAAAAAGTACACACATAAATACCTCACCCCTTTGTTTAGTAAATGAGATTGCTTGCATATCTCCCAGAATCTGTGCTGTTGATTCTGCATCTGTCAACACTCTGTCCTCAGGATCAGAGACAGCAAGACTACTTGCAGAGCAAGCAACACTTCACCGAGGGTGGCAATATCACTAAGAAAGTTGTGCTTTGCTGGATAAGAGCTAGCTGAGCATGAGACAATGACAAAGCAAGAGGAAACCAGGAAATCATGTTTCCATGAGGTTTTGCCTTCAGTTACTAACTTGAGTTTATATCCTAAGTTCCCACAGTGATGGACTTTGACCTGAGGGTATCAAGCAAATAAACCCGTCCATTACCTGAGTTGCTTTTGGTTAGAGAATTGAATCACGGCAACAAAGAAGCAAATTAGAATGAAAAATGGTACCACAAAAGTCATTTTATTACTACAAATAGCCTGGAAATATTGTCTTGTGGAAGAATGTTGAATATATCAGGAGTTTTGATAACAAAAGGATGGAAAGTGTACATGGGGCTTAAATGGCTATTGCTGTAGGACCTGGAAAATGGGAGGGTCAATATTATTCCATATATTTGAGGTCAAGATCATAAGGTCTCATTGGGGAATAGTCTCCAAGAAAAATTAAGCTAGCAGTCATTTGTGTGATATTTGGCCCAAAATGTTTTTTATTCTGCACAGGTCCTGCAAAATTGAGTGAGGCAGAATTCAAAAGCAATTGTCTGATTTCTTAGACAGAATATTGATTCTATGGGATGGTTATTGCTGATGAATCATTCAGGTCTACAGTGAACATGAACAACAAGTGAGATAAAAAGAAATGCAAAGTCTGTGGTTGTAGAGGAAAAACAGCACTAGGTAGATTCAGATAGAAGTCCAATAGTGAATCAGGCAGGAATTTTCAAGATAATCACCATTAAAGGCTCTTGCTCTACAGTGTAAGCCGAGCAATCACTCCTTAATTTGGAAGAATTTTTCAGATGGAGGGCAGTTGTGTACTTTTTAGTAAGTAAGGCTTTTTAAAGTAGTGCAGTGCATACAAGGACAATCAAACTGGCTGGGTACTATTAAGCTGCGTTGGTTACCTCAGTGAGATAGTGAAAACCTGAAAGCAGTTACGAAACAATGAAACTTAAGTATGAAATTCAGAGGAATGTTTTGATTGATAACAGTGCAGCCGCAGCTATTTTTCATTTAATGTTCTTTCATAAGACGTAGAGAATGGGTGAAATGATTTTTAACCCTAAAGCAGTGTGATATATCTCTAGTTGTTCTAATCTCAGGTCTCTTGAAAACTCAATTAAGAGAATGGCTTCAAACCAAGCTGGAGAAATATGAAACAGGGTTTTTTTGGGAATGAACAGTGACACTAAGTGATGAAATAGCTACAGCACAGTTACAACTCAGTATTTCTAGCTCCTTTAATATTTTCTCAGTCATTTTATTGATAGCCCTAAATGAAGACCACATATTTAATTTGTGGTATATTTAGTTTTGACTTTAGCAACTTTAAAAAACTGATCAATGCAGCAAACCTGCCCTCTGAACACCACACATTGCCTAGTTATCAAATCACAGGCATTTATGAACACAAGGAGCACTGGTCCTCAAGAAACAAGTCAGAGAACCTGATGACCTTGTAAGTGTGGATGATTTCTTTTTTTGGAGGAATACCCAGGGTGATGTTCATGGAGGCTCAGGGTGTTCAGGGTAATCTCAGTGCCTTTCTTGACAGTTCTCTGTGCACAGTGAGCACATACTGCAGATCCTGGCTCCATCTGTGTTCCAGAAATAAGGGAACAGAAGAGGATAGGATGCACCAAAGGAAAGTTCCCCAACAATGCTGGGGACAGACTTCTGGATACTGCTTCTTAAAAGGAAATATTTAGATTCTGTTGGCTTTAGTATAGAAATATCAATGAGCAGATATTGTTTGTGCCAGAGAAAGAGCCTGGAACAGCTTAGAACACATACCAGTAGAAGAGTAAGATTGTCAGAGGGTCTCACAGTGTGACTAAATTCTGTGTGGTCAGTGTGTGTGTCTTGGGGTCATGTCCACTGTTTATTATAGTTCAAAGTGGTCTGCTTTTACTCTGTACTGAAGGTCCTCAGAGACCTGGAATCTGCCATCCATAATACAAGCTTCCTTATGGTCAAAAGACATTCAGGATATTCATTTGCAAGTCCTTCCATGTAGAAAAGCTTCTAGCCTACAGTCCAATTGGAGACTCCAGAGTCAAGGCACAAATCTGCTCTTATCCTGGAAATCATGGGTAGTGTGCTTGTTAGCCAAACTAGAGCCAACTGGGAATAGGGACTCATAATGTGGAATTAATTTGATCAGGTTGACTCTGAGCATGTCTGTGGGTTTTATTGACTGTTTATTGAGAGTGGCACTATCATTTCATTGGCTGGGACCTAAATTGTGTAACAGTGAAGAAACCTGGAGAAAAAGCAGAGACAAGCAGGCAGCCTGGGTGCATTTGTATCTTTCTACTTTTGACTGTGGATGTGATGTGACTAGCTGAGTTTATTCCTTGACTTCCCCAAGATGGATTAAAACCTGGAAATGTGGGCTAAAGTCAATTCTTCCTTTCCTAAGTTGCTGAGCCTGGAACCTGTATGTAATGAAGATGCTAAGACACCAGTCTCTGACACTGGGGTGCTGTGGGATGTTCCGTATGGCAAATGTGTTGGTCAATAAATAAAACACTGATTGGCCATTGGCTAGACAGGAAGTATAGGTGGGACAAGGAGGAGAATAAAGCTGGGAAGTGGAAGGATGAGTCAGAGAGACACTGCCAGCCGCCATGATGACAAACAGCATGTGAAGATGCCGGTAAGCCACGAGCCATGTGGCAAGTTATAGATTAATGGAAATGAATTAATTTAAGGTGTAAGAACGGTTAGCAAGAAGCCTGCCATGGCCATACAGTTTGTAGGCAATATAAGTCTCTGTGTTTACTTGGTTGGGTCTGAGTGGCTGTGGGACTGGCAGGTGAGAGATTTGTCCTGACTGTGGGCCAGGCAGGAAAACTTAAGCTACACTGGGGTTTCCAGAAGTCAGGGAGACATGAAAGTAATGAATACCATGCTCAGCAGCAGCACATCACTACCAGAGCAGGAGATCCTTCTTCCTTCTGAGCTCAACCCTGTGTTTCTCAAGTCACTATATTACAAAAACACACAGACACCCATTGACTCAGACAGCATATTACCCTACCCAGAAATTGCTCAACATAGTGTCTTGCCATATCAAGTGTTACCATAATTTCTTCTATTACATAAAACAAGGTCAACTTCATTGGAAATTATTTTTTCTATGGATTTCCTGACCCTAAAAATTTTGAAATGCGGAGAAATGGATTTGGAATTACAGCCCTAAAGATGAATCTCAACCTTATGGTGTACCCTTCCTTAGAGGTCAGGAGAGACACCTTAAAGGTCAAATCAAAGAGGCACTTTACCTGCCAGGTGGTAGGTGGACATAATAAGTGGCAATCTGTCCACTATTGTCTTTAGTTCTAGGCTGACCTCTAACTTCTGTGCTTCCACAGAAAGATCTGTGGAAACTGATCTTTGACAAACTTCTTCCTTTAAAAATATACACAAGCAATTAGAATAGAAGTCATTCTGATATGGTCTTTAACCTCCAACTTGCATGTGACAGCCCTTTATGAGCAACTTCAAAGGGCTAGCCAAGGAGACTTCCGGCTTTGTCCAGGAGCCCCAATAACCACATTTATAGGGATAGGATGTAGATCTGAGGAACAGAGTGCAAAAGCGACAATTCCAAAGGAAGGGGACAGCCAGGGGCCCCCATGCTGCAATTCTCTGATGTGTGTTTGCCTTTCTGTGTGTCAGTTTCCTCCAGCTAGAGAAAATTTGGTTTAGATGACCCATGAACATGAGAGATGCCACCAGGGACACTTTATAAAATTACTTCATTTGTTTATGTTTTTTTTTTTTTAATCAGCCACAATAACTGGTCTCTTTGAAATACGGCCTACAAGTTGCTAAGAACTTTTTTGTTGTCTTTCTCAGCTCTCTTCGTTGTCTTTCCTTTTATACATGTGTTTTTATTGATTTTGTTGTGTTTACTAATTCACTTAAAACAAAGGCAGGGCCGATACAAGACACACACAATATTTTCAGGCTCTAAATGTGTTAGTAAAGTGAAAGACAATAGGTCATAACTCTTGGCAAGCCCTCTTTCCTGTGTGTCTTAAGCATTGCAACCACCGTTTTCTCTCTCGAAAAGCAGGAATAATAGATAGTGCACATGCTGTTAATAGCAATTCTATGTGACAAGTTAGAATTCTAGCTACAACAGACACCATACATGGCATCCTTCCTCTGCACTGTGCCCTTTTGCTTGTCTAGAAGGCTGGCTTCTCTCCCCAGCTCAGTGAGAACAAGCCTATTACTATTACTGCTTATACCTCTTCCCCTAATCACACTTACATTGTCACTCACTTCCAACAGCAAGAACAAAGGATACCACTCAGAGGAATAAGTCACCAGCTCTCCTCCAGAGGGCACTCAGCTGTCAGGAAGGGAATTGAGCTTCACCAACCACTACTAGATTTTTCCCATGGTGCAATTGAACTTCCTTGAATTTCCTGGGCAATTAATTTCTTAAGAAATTGTTGTGCATAAATCATAATAAATCTGGGCCAGCTATAGACTGAGCTCCAGGAAGGGAGAAGGAAACAGCCACAAAGTGAAAAGGCATTTGTGTTCCTAAAATGGGGTGACAGAGATTAACACTTAGGCTTTCTACCCCTGGCCTAGGTTCCCTTCTTACTGTTTGCAACCTCTGACTCCCGGTGGTCTAACAAAAAGTGAGAAGCTTTGAAAAGGGGATGGTGACTCACGTCCTTCAAAGGTGTCCTCCAACCTCTGATCTACTGGAAATGTGGACTTCCTGAGGACCCTGCGCCAGTGGCAGCCACAACAGGGAAGATAGGACATTTGGTAGTGTGTTATTGTTCACTGCGACTCTCAGCAGGACAGAGGCATAGATGTGAATTGAGCTCCGGGCATTGGTTCCTTCCCCATGGGCTGAGAAGGTATCACCCTTGCCATACAGGTAGAGCAGAAGCCATGACTAGGTCCTCACTCAGCTTAGTGAGCTTCAGAGAGAAGGGGCCTCAGGCACTCTGGAGTAGCCTCACAGAGCTGCTACTCATCTGAGCTGTTGACAGAATGTTGCAGCCTGAAGAATTCCTTCAGGTAAAGAAAGAGCAGCAGCTGAGCTTCTATCTACATTGCAACCTTGCATTACCACCATTGACTCACTTGCTAAGATTGTCCAAGAACTCTATGGCACTGTCACACAAAGAAAAGGCATCTTAAATACCCCAATTCTTTGAGAAAATTCTTGTTTATTTATGGGAAACACACTCTGTAGTTACTAGAACAAGAGTACTGTGGCTTTAAGTTGTCCCATGTCTCAGAATGATGCTCAAGGTAGCACAGAACCAATTACCTTTGCTCATCTAGTTTTTTCTAAAGGGGAAAGGGATGGGAAGAGCATAAGACCAGAAGTTCTCAGCTGTGGTTTCATGAGGAAGTTCAACAGGGTCACTGAAGTGCTGAAATAATCTCAACATTTTTGTGAAAATTTGTTTTCTGGGCTGGGCAAGATAGCTTAATCTATTCCTTAAGGTGTCTACAGCCCAATATCGATCCCAAAGGTAGAGCAAAACTATTTGAAGATCTGTCTATGTTCACATAGCTTGGGATTCTGTGAGTCAATAAGGTCCCCAGTTTTATTCTGATGTGTGGCAAATACCATGACTGAAAGAAAATTTAGGGGAAAATGGTATATTTCACCTTACAGTTCCAGTTCACAGTTCCTCTGCTGAAAGAAGTTGTGGTAGGAAATCTCACTCAGGGCCCAGAAAGTACAGAAGAAACCATGGAGTGATGGTGCATACTGACTTGCTTGCAAGGCTCATGTTCAGCTAGTATCCTCATATAGCTCGTGTCACCAGCAAGAAGGTAGATGTGCATAATTAGTTTAACAAAGTTATATTTTACTGTGCTAATGGTCATCAGAGAAGGTTCACACTTTCTATTTGCAACTGTCATCCTAAGCCTATGTCCCCAAGGTTGCTCAGCTATGTGACAAATCTTAAGAGAAGGTCAGGTCCAGTCTCTAACAGAAGTCTCTGATTCCAGGGTCAGGATTCTGAGCAAGTCTGTCGAGCTACAGGGAAAATCAAGGTGATATCTCTATAGATGGGCATAGCAGAGCATTGCTCTTGGTCTCTGCCTATGTACTGTCCAGTTGGAATAATGGGGTTCTAGTACTGTTTCTGGTAATCTTCACTGAATGATATCACACAGTTCTGCTTATCAGTTGCAGCCTTGGGTGTAGTAGGGTTCCAGACTAAGCTATTTTTATATGTCTAAAAGGCATTTTTTTTTACTATGCTTATTACAATAAGGCTTCTGATACACTTATATGTATGGCCATGAATAACAAGTAATACACCAGGATGCCTTGGAATTAATAATGGTATGGCTTTTCACTGGGCAACTGAAAAAATGGGAAAAATAAAAGTTTTACCTATAACCATTAGTGGAAGCAGAGTTACTAAAACAGGCATCTCAAAACACATTACCGGTATTAAAGAAGTGCCTCACTTGCTGCCCTGTCCAATTGGAGAACAAGGAGCAGCCTCATCATTATACCTTCATTGGGTTAAATGTAAACTGACTACTTCATATAATCTATCATGGGGCCTTGGGTGGTCTCCACCAAAAATTTCATGGTCTAATAAATTATGGTATGGAAACCAACATACTTTTAGCCTTTCTTAACTGTAAGGCTTCACTGTTTCCTCACCTAGGTTACAATACAGGGGAACATGTCATACTTACTGTGAACATTAATACTTAGAATGTGATTCATTACCCTTTCTGAGAGGAACAGTATGAGAAAACACTGCAAATTTTACTTTTGATTCAATGAACAATGAATCCTAATACACACAAGCTTGCATTGTTGCTTCTCATATGTTATTTATAGAAAGCCTAGTAATCCAGTATAGTCATTTTTATTTTGTAATATACAATAACTTCTATTTAACTCTGTGTGTTAATTGCACAACAAATACTATAATTGTATTTCAACAACCTCCTATTTATTGGATCCCAGGAAAATTGTAAAAAGAGTGGTCTTCCAAAAATTTCAATTCAATACTTGAAAAATTTTTAACAATTTTAGAAAAACATTCTTACGAATTCATTGGGTAGCTAGAATATTTACCTTAATAGTCATTTTTTGAGTTTTCACATTAAGAATCTTATCATTAAAACAGAATGTACAAAGAAGCTCATTTTACAAACAATATAGTTAAAATGTTTATAAAATAGATTTCAAGAAGAGATGGATATTGATTTCATAGAACGAGTGGATGAAGGAAAACAACATAGGAATATAAACAGTGTGAAATTTTCCACTTCCAGTTCTTTTCGAATTTAAGGAAATGTAAAGAAAATTACTTGGAAGCTCCCTCTAGTATAGAAAACTGTCCCTCTTTGAATAATGAACCATTGGTATAGAAATAAACATTTACTGCAATTTGTTTTAAAATATTCAATATATAATATTCATTAAACTATACATTGTGAGTTCTAGGCCAGCTGGAGCTTTCTTATGAGACCCTGTGTATAACAACAAAGAAAAATTATATTTAACTATATTTGTGTGTGTGTGTGTGTGTGTCTGTGTGTGTGTGTGTGTGTGTGTGTGTGTCTGTGTCTGTGTCTGTGTTATTGAGACATGTTCATTATCATCCTCACTGTAGACTGAGCAGGCTGGAATTCAAGGGGAACTAGCTGGCTCTGCTACTATAGTCAGGTATATTCATTTCTGAGAATGATTTGACAAGGACCATTGGCTGACACCTGAAGCGAATGTCCTGTGTTCTTTATTATTCAATTTTGTTCTTATACAGTTTGTGTGTGTGTGTGTGTGTGTGTGTGTGTGTGTGTGTGTGTGTGTGTAGGTGTGGGAAGAGAGACTATATACCACAGGTTCTTCAAACTGACAGTGATCTTCCCGCCTCTGTTTCTAGAGTGCTACTATTACAGGCTTGCACCCCATTTATGGCTCTAGTGGCTTCCTCTAAAACTATTTAGTGAGACTTTGGAATGGTTAAACAAAAATAGCAGTTCTGTGGAAAGATGAAGGAATCAGAGACACAGTCTCAATCTGTGTTGTAGGAAACTAATTGTTTATAGAGATCTCTGCTGAAATTAAGCTGGGACACTTCAGTGCATTTTAGAAAAGAATTTCAGCATAAATCTGTACAAATCAGAATTGGAATTTTATTTGATTTTGAGACAAGGTCTCTCTAAAAGCTCTAGCTGGACTTGAACTCCGAATGTAGGTAAAGTTGGCCTCATACTCCCAGAATTCTACCTGCTCCTGCCTCCAAGTATTGAAATAAAAGTTATGTGCCACATCATCCAACTCTTAATTTTATTATTTATTTACTAATGACTGTCCTTCTCTGTGTGCTCACTTATGTGTGGAAAGGTGTGCATGTGTGCAATGATGTGGGTGTAAAAGTCAGACAACAACTTTGGATGTTGGTCCTTTCCCTTCAGCATGTTTGGGACAGGGGCTCACAAGGTGAGCTTGTAGAATTTCCATCACAAGGTCATAGCTTGTAGGATTTCTTCTTTCTGCTTTTATCTCGCCTTAAAAGCACTGGATTATAGGCATGCTCTGTTAGCAACTGACTTTATAATGAAGAACTAAATGGATAGTTGCAAGGTGAGTACTTTTTCTGTTAAACTATTTTCTTAGCCCTGAAGTTTATTAAGTAGAGATTTTGATGAGTGAGTCTGTTTCGAGTCACAGTCTCACTTTCTAGCCCTTTCTGGCCTGGAAACTACTAGGTAGTACATATGCAAGGCCTGGATTTCACAGAGATCCACTCACCTAAGCCTCATGTGACAACACTTGGCTAAAAGGAGATGTTTGTTTATCATGGACGTAGCACAGATATTAGTAGAAAGAAAGGACTTTGGGAGAGTGTGGTCTTGTGAGGGAGAGGCACACATAAGAATTATACAAAGGCATGTATGCAGTTTTGGTGACCTAAGTTCCATTTCAATGGATTCTTAAGGAGTCTCTCTCTCTCTCTCTCTCTCTCTCTCTCTCTCTCTCTCTCTCTCTCCCTCCCTCCCTCCCTCCCTCCCTCCCTCTCTCTACTTCTTTTTGGTAATAAGATCATAGGTCAGTTTCTGAGGTGCTTGTGTGGGATTCTGCATTAATAAGGTAAAAGCATGGGTCAGAAGAGTTCTGCACTGTGCCTTATTCTATATGAGGTTCATAAATTCTGTCCTGGAGATCACCAGAGAATTGCTGCTTACATATGGGAAAAAAGTAAGTATATACTCAAACATTTTTATTTACTTTAGCCTCAAACATGCTTATTGGTATTTGAGATATCAATAAAAAGAGGAATGTTTTCTCTGTCTACATAGGCAAGCTACACAGCAAATTTTATGTGATGGTCAATACTGATTTTCAACTTCATAAGCTGTAGAATCAGCCAAGGGACAATCCTCCAAGCATACCTGTCAGGGCTTATCTAGATCATGTTATTATCTGGGGTGGGCTTATGAGAGATTAGCTTGTATATTAAGTTCGTTGGAATGAGAAGACTCTTTTCCATTCCAGAAGTGATAGCACTATTCCATTGTCTTGGTACTAGATTGTGTAATAAGGACCAACATTTTTTACAGTCTGTTTCCTGACTATGGATATGGTTGTGATCAACCATCATTACCTGCCACAATGACTACTTTCTATAAACATTCTTTTTACTCACTTTTAAATTGTTAATATTTGAGCCAGGTGGTGGTGGTGGTGGTGGTGGTGGTGGTGGTGGTGGTGCACGCCTTTAATCCCAGTACTTGGGAGGCAGAGGCAGGCAGATCTCTGAGTTCGAGGCCAGCCTGATCTACGCACCAAAACTACACAGGGAAACCCTGTCTTCAAAAAACTAAAAATAAATAAATAAATAAATTGTTAATATTTGAGTGTCCACATGTTGATGCTATGGAACTCAGTAAAGCTAAATAAGTAGTCACCCAAACCAGTCATGGTGTCACAATCCTGAGATCACAGAACTTAGGAGGCAGAGGCCAGAGTTTAAGGGTTCCAATATCATCCAAGCAGTAGTTCTACAATGGGATTTGGAAGTAGGCCTGAAGGAACAGATGTGACTGTGATGGGCTCAGGCAAGAGTCCCTTGTCTTCTCCAGACCAGAGCAAGCCTTTTGGCCTCTGGATAATCTCACTCCCAAGGCTAAAGGTGTATTCTTCAGTTAGCATTTGAACCCAAAGTTCTGAGCTGTGGGAGATGTGAGTCCCAGTTGCCTTGAAATCCAAGATCACAACATTTCTATAATGGCAGGGTCTCAGGATGTAGGGAATGGGGAGGATAATGTATCAGGCTGCTGATTGAGTGCGGCTATTGTCTTTCTGCCCCTTTCCAACTCACATCTCAGTGTCCTTGTTACTTGACAAAAAACAAGCCAGGCTGGTTTGAGACAAAAACAATAATTACAAGACTGGGAACAGGAGCAGTTTATCAGACTTTTTCCAGTGCATCATTTCCAGGAGGTCATGACTAGATGGCTCAGACATTAGAGTCTCCAAGGAGCTGATACTGGGACTCAGAGAACTGACAGCAACTCCAGTGCCCAGAGCTACACAGGTCTTCTCCTGTGTCCTCCTTTTCTTCCCCATCTCTTTCAGGTCTCTTCTTATCTACTGCATCTCCTCATCCCCCCTTTGCATCTCCTCAATTTCAGTAAGTTGTCAGATAAATAGTAGAATCAACATACAGTACACTGAAAGAATAGAAACGATACCATTGTTTATCTGGATAAAGCCCAGATTGTTTGGGAATTTGCTGGCATTCTTCTGCCTGAATGTCTTGATTGCCAATCCAAGATTGAATGATGACCTGTAACTGATTTCAAATACCTACAGAGAAGGCCTAAGAAATTGATGATTACAGTGGACACCTGAAAGTGTCATAGATTCTAGAACCTTAGGATGGCCAAGGAGAGCTCCAGGTGTGGAGCTGATTAGCAATTGTAGGAAAAACGTATATGCTTTGGATAACAAAGCCTGAAACATGGAGCTTCCACAGTCTCCAATAGCCCAGGATATCATTAAGAGTCTCAGAATTTGAACAATGTGATAAACAAAGCTGCTAGGTCATTTTGCCTCTGTTCATCCAGTGAAGGAGGTGCTACTTACTGTCCTGAGCCCCAGCTGGTTTATCCTAGCTGTTTAGAGACCCCTGGCAGGCCTTGAAATCAGAAGTACCAATGAGAAGTATATTGTGTTTTTTTCTAGGGTTCTCTTCCGATGCAGCTTTAGGGAGCTGTGCGGGAGACTATAAGCCATGCCATGGTAAGTTGGGGCATTTCCTTCTGGGCAGAAGGAGCAGATTGACTGAGTTGTCACACCTGCTGGTAGTTGAATGCACCATGAGTCAGTTTGTGGTTCTGTTGGTTCATGTGGTGACACTGGCTGTGGTCCTTAGCCTCTATGCCTCCCTGAGTGTGTATTCCCTAGGAACAGGAAGTCTCTGCAGGCCTGACCATGGGAGCTGTGGTGCTTACAATATCACCGTCCACTGTACACACACAGACATTGCTTTTGGTGTGCAGTGGGAAGACAGATTGAAAAACTGAAGGTCTAGTTTCTAGAAATTCTCAATATTGCATTCCATATTCAGTTTTGTGTGATAAGTTTTACAAATAGGTTAGAAACTGTTAGAAAGTAGCTGATGGGGATCATCTTTTATTAGAATGCTATTAATTTTCATCTACCACCAGCCACAATGGCATGATGCAAGGAAGTAAATTCCAGGGAACAAATGGAGTTTCCGAATTTTAAAGGCTCTTTGGATGTGCTTGGTGTTCGACAGATGGATAGGGTAGATTCTACATCCTGTGCCATAATACATGTAGCAGGAATTAAATTAATGAATTAAATTAATCTTCAACATTGTTTTTTGTGTGGGCATCAATCAAATTGGGTTTGCCTGAAAACACAAGGAAGAATGAGGGAATGCTGTGCCACAGCTGACCTTTCTGATTACCTCCATTTCCAGAAAGATCTCTAGGGCATTTGGCTTCTCTGTAAGAGAGAGCAGAAGCTGGAGGGTGATAAATACAGCATTTAAGGGTCACTTTGAGTTATTTTTGTGAGAGTTGTAAAGTCTGTGTTTATTTAGTTTCTGTACACATAAAATCATAGGTAACATTGGTCAAGTTCACATTTTTCCTGGTTCAGTTTCCTTAGGTCTTTTGATGAAAACTTGACTACATTTTTGTGCTGTTGTTCCTGGATTTTTCTCTCCATCCCTTTATTCTTTCAAAAATACTGTACACATGCTTGATTGTTGTAGATTTGTGATAAATACAGAAGTAACACTGTCACTGTGTGTACTATTTCTTCTTAACCCTATTGAGAATTCTGAGTTTTTCCACATGGCACATAACTTTGGAACCAGCTTTCCTGTTATAATTTGTTGGGAATTTTCTGTGAATTGTATTGGATTTGTGCTGCAAATTGAACATACCCAACATCTTTTTGTTGTTTTTGAAAATACGTCATTTTAATGGTGCTGTTTGCAGAATATAAAAGGGTAAATGATATTATTCTACATAGTTATTTGTTTAACAAACTACAGTAAAAGTATGAAAATGAGACTGATTTGAAATAATGTATGCAGACATAGGAATATGACTATAGTATAGTTGAGTGACACAGAATATATTGTTATATTCCCATAAAAGATATCCCACTAAGTATGATTGAATTAAGAAAATGTGGTGATATATTGTGTCCACCAATAAATTGTGCACCCTAATAAAGCTTATCTGAGGATCAGAGGAAAAAGTCAGCCTCTATATTAAACAAAGAAGTCAGGCAGTGGTAGTAGCACATGCCTTTAATCCTAGCATTCAGGAGGCAGAGGTCCATCTGGATCTCTGTGAGTTCAAGGACACACTGGGGAAGAGAGTCAGGCATGGTGGCACATGCGATTAATCCCAGCACTAACCATAGAAGTCTGAAAGTCAGTACTGACAGACAGGAAGTGATGCAGCTGGGTGGAGAGAGGAAGTGAGATGCAGAACAGAAAGGTATATAGGCATGGGTATACAGGAAGAAGGTCACTTTGAGAACTATAGTATAGTTGAGTGACACAGAATATATTGTTATATTCCCATAAAAGATATCCCACTAAGTATGATTGAATTAAGAAAATGTGGTGATATATTGTGTCCACCAATAAATTGTGCACCCTAAAAAAGCATATATATACATATATATATGGTATACAGATCACTTTTTTATTTCTATTTCCATTTTCCAATTGTGTTGATAGAGATTAGAGATGTTTTATTGAGTCCATGGGAATCAGTGAAGGCCACTTTGAGGATTTCCAAGTATTAAGATGTGGATGGCTTCTTTCTGTTTTTCTGATCTCTCAGTTTTTTCCACAATATCTGATTCCAGGTTTTTATTAGTAAAATGATTTAGCAATTCATCTTATATCTGGCACCCTAACATCTGTGTCATGAATTCACTAAAAAGCTGCTTGTGGCCTTACTTACTTCTACAGAAGCCTCCACCCCATGTTGGCTGGAGTCTTTTGGCTTCTTCTCCCCTGGTGGGTTGTGGGCTTTCTCTGGATTCCCATCTTAGATTGCTACCACACTAGGTAGGTGCCTTGAAACTCCCTCAGACTTCTGTTCTACTCAGTAAGTAGAATTGGTGAGTCAATTAAGAAATCTTAAAAGGAATAATTAGTTAAAAGAGAACTTTTTCCCACATTAAAAAATGGGAAACATTTTTACAATAAAGGGAATTTGGTCTCTGTTGATAACACATTAGGCAGTTTGAAAATGGAACAATTAAATGAGAGGATAGTTAATGTTGATGGGATTTACATAATGTCAGTTATGAATATTATTAGTTTGATCATTTTATTTTAGTGTTTAAAAAGTTGATTAATTTGAGTGCCAAGATAAAAGATTTAGAAAACCTTGATAAAACAAGTTATAGAGATTTTCAGACCCAGACAAAATTTAAAGGTGAACCTATCTCAGCATTGAATTATATGGTTACAGACAAATAGCCTGTTTCAAAATCAAACTTTATCTAGTAACCTTACAGGAACTGCCAAATGCTCAAAGGTGTATATGAGCTAACTGGACTCAAGTGGAAATGTTACATTTCAGGAGATTTAAACAAGCGCTAGTCTCATATGGTATGCATTCTCCATTTGTAAAGCAGATGTTAAACTCATAGTCAACTTGTAATAGAATTATCCCTCAGGACTGGAAAGATTTGGTTACAGCAGTCCTAGAGGCTGGGCCACAGTTACAGTGGAGAACCTGTTGGAAAGAGATGGCTAAAATTATAGAACAATGATGTGGGACTAGAGGTATGGAAATTTCCCAAGATCAACTTTTTAGAGAAGGTGATTTTGCTGATATACAAAGACAATCTTTATATGATGACCACACCCTAATTTTTTGTTGAATGGCAGCCCTGAAAGTGTAGGACAGAATTGAAGAAGTTGGGAAGAAAATTGAGTCATTTACAAAAGTTATACAGGGCCCAAAAGAAACCTTCACAAATTTCTAACAAAGGCTGTCTTCAGCAGCAAATGGAATGGTACCAAATTCAGAAGCTAGACAGATAATAATTGAATCTCTGACTTTTGAAAATGCCAATGCAGCATGCAAAAGGATAATTAGGCAGTTAAAAGCAAGATCAGCACCCTTGGAGGAATGGATCCTGGATACAATTAATATTGAATCTCTTGACCATAATGATATATGGATAGGAGAGATTGAAAGACCCCCGCAGGAAGTCTTCCCTCTGGAGAGACCCTCGCCCAGAGATCACACCGAGACCACAAGTCAGATGCAAACAGCAAGAGGCTTTATTCCGGAACACGGGTACCCGGGGCGACACAGTCACTCCAGAAGCTCAGGAGGCTGGCGCGCGCACGGGCTGGAGTGGAGGGTTTTTATATGGTCGGGCAGCAGAGGGGCGGGTTTACAGGGTTCTGATTGGACGATACATATGAGGCCATGGTTTACAGGGTTCTGATTGGACGATTCATATGAGGCCAGGTTCAAGCTCAGGGCAGCTCGTGGTTTTTCCCCGAGCTCGACACGCCTGCTGACTTGGCTCTTATCTAGGGTACAAGTTGTTTTTCTGACCTTTTAGTTCCCTGTTCTGGGGCCAGGTGGCCGGCCGCAGATACCCTGTTTGTTCCTGTGCTCATGTCCTCTAACTGAACTTTCCCCGTACTTTTCAGGCCTTGCTCAAAATGGCGTTAGGCTAAGCAAGTATGCTGGGGCCTTTCATTCCCCCATTTTCTTATCTCAGGGAATGGAATCCTCCATTCATGGGGAAGAATAGGGATGTGGCTCCATTTCCACCTGGTTGAGTCGTTGGTATTGTTGGGTCAATACCAAGGTCTGAACAGTAGAAACGCGTTCCCTGATAAATTAGACAAGTCTGTTTAGGATACAGGGCCCGAGCGTCAGACGGAGCAATACTGGGCCTGGGTGGCTGGAGGGTGACTGGGGTTACAGTAGCATTCGGAGCCGTGCTTGGGCGAATGGCCGAATTGGGTCGGGGGGTAGCCCTCGGGGGTGCCGGAGCGGGTAAAGAGGGGCGCTTTTGGTCAGAGAGAACCTGGTTGGGACCTATAGAGGCGGAGGGCTCCGTGATTTTAAGCCTAATCATAAACACGACTCCCTGGTCCCGTCCCGTCATGTAAAGTCTAAGTCCCCATGTTTTACCTTTAATCCAGTCCTGTGTTATCTCCCTTCCCTTTTGAGTAAAAGATATATTCAGGGGGTTGCAGGTGAAATTTACATAGGGCTGCTCTGGTTTCAGGGTGACTACATCCGTATCTCCCGCCATTACATTTGCAAGTTCCCTTACCATCCTGACAGACGTTTGGTGCTCTAGGGTTCATGGGGTCAGTGGTAGGGATGTCCCAGTCCTCTGACCCTGCTACTAGTTGGCAGAGATCTGGATGCAAGTTAGGCCACCATGTAAAGGGGGTGTGAAGGGTGGTCATTTGCCAGACCGTCTCCCCAGTTTGTGAGATAACCTGCCAAGTGAGCCTCTTAACTAGGTGCGGGCTCTCTGCCGCCCTAGTCCCCTGGGGGTAGGCAGAGATTAAGAGGAGGGGGAGGAAGAGGAGCCGCGGGCCAACCTTATTTTTAGGGGGTTTTGTGTGCGACGCACTGTCCATGTTGACTTTCTGGATCCTGCTGGGTCGGGTTCCCTGGCAGCCTTCACATGAGAGGCGTGGACCCATGCAGCAATCCCGTCGACCTTGAGTGCAGTGGGGGTGGTCAGCAAGACAGTGTAGGGCCCCTTCCACCGTGGTTCCAGATTCGGACCCAAACGGAGTCCCCGATCTGGAAGGGGTGGGGCACCACCGGCTTGTCTAGCTGCTCCTGATAAGCCTTGGCCAGGGGCTTCCAGATCTCCCTCTGCACCAGTTGGAGGGCTTGAAGATGTGCCTCTAAAGTAGGGGTGGTGGCAAAAGATGAAATATCAGGATGGAGAAAGTTTACAACAGGAGGTGGGGCCCCGTACATGATCTCAAAAGGGGTTAGGCCGTGTGGGCCAGGAGTATTTCGGGCTCGGTAGAGAGCCAAGGGAAGTAGGAGCACCCAATCTCTAGTGCCAGTTGCAAGCGTTAATTTGGTTAAAGTCTCCTTGATTGTTCTATTAGCTCGTTCTACCTGTCCTGAGCTCTGGGGGCGGTACGCACAATGGAGTTTCCAATCAACCCCCAATAGTTTGGCCACCTTCTGACTTACCTGAGAGACGAAGGCAGGCCCGTTATCCGACCCCAATATTTGAGGCATCCCGTACCTGGGGAAGATTTCTTCCAACAGTTTCTTAGATGAACCTTTCCTGCGTTGACTTGAGCACAGGCTGGGCAGGTAGAAGTTACCTGCTGGAGTACCTGATCCTGGTTCAGCAGCACTGCCCAGGTGTTTTCTCTGTTCCCAGTCCACCCCCATTTTCTTTGCTAGCTCCGATCAGGGCGGGTGCCATGTGCTTCGGCTAGAATCTGGAGGCAGTCATGCTCCTCGGAGGGGCTAGGCAGTGGCAGCAAGGTAGCAGGGTTAAGGGAAACTGTCGGCCCAAAATTTACCCGGTCTGAGTCCAGTAGTAAGGCCTGATAGTAAGTCATTCTGGCGTTAGAAAGCCATCTGTCCGGTGGTTGTCGGACCAAGGCCTCCACTGCATGGGAGGCCAGCACAGTCAACGGCTGTCCCAGAGTCAGCTTCCCGGGATCCTTGAGTAATACAGCAATGGCTGCCACCATGCGGAGGCATGATGGCCATCCTGTAGCCACCGGGTCCAATTTCTTGGACAAGTACGCTACAGGTCTCCTCCAAGGTCCCAGTCTTTGCACCAGTACCCCTTTGGCAAAACCTGAGTTCTCATCCACAAACAGCTCAAAGGGCTTGGTTAGATCTGGCAGACCCAGAGCCGGGGCCTCGAGTAAGGCCTTCTTGATCTGTTGGAACGCTTTCTGATGCTTCTCCTCCCATTGGAACATGGCCCCTGGTTTAGTGAGGGGGTACAATGGGGCTGCCAGTTCGGCAAAGCCGGGAATCCAAAGGCGGCAGTACCCAGCCGTACCCAGGAACTCTCGAACTTGGCGGGGGTTCCGAGGAGGGGGGATGGAGATTATCGTCTCCTTCCTTGCCCTTGTTAACCATCTTTGCCCCCCGCTCAGGGTGTAGCCCAGGTAGGTAACCTTGTCTCGGCATATTTGAGCCTTTTTGGCTGAGGCTCTATAGCCCTTTTGTCCAAGTCTGGCCAGTAAGGCTCGAGTGCCCTCCAGGCACTCGGTTCGACTCCTGGCCACCAGGAGTAGATCATCCACATACTGGAGCAGAGTCGGGTTGGGTGTTCGACCCAGAATCCGGCCAGATCTGCATGTCTTGGGCTTGGGCCGGCGGGGTCCTTGTGGCTTAAGCACATTGATCTTTATCAAGGGGTGGCCTCCTTCGCTCTCCCGACCTATCTCCCTCTCTCCACTGTCCCTGAGACACAACGGCGGCCAAAACCTTTTTCATCTCCCTATGCTGTTTCTTGTCCCTTTCCTCTTGTTTCTGCCATCTCCTTTCCTCGCGCTCCTCAGGAGTTTCTCTCTTATTGAACACTTTCTCTGCTTCCTTCAATAAGTCTGGCAAACCTAGCGCCTGTAAACCTTCCAGCCGCTGCAATTTGGTTCCGATATCTGAGCTAGACTGATAGATAAATGATAGGATGACACCTGGTGCTTGCCCTGGGTTTTCTGGATCATACGGAGTGTACATCCTATAAGCCTCCTTCAGCCTCTCTAAAAATGCAGTGGGTGTTTCTTCCTTTCCCTGTATCACATTCCTCTTCCTTTCCCTGTATCACATTCCTTACCTGAGCCAAATTGGTAGGCCTTCTGGCGGCCGCTCGGAGACCCGCTAAGAGCAACTGGCGATAGAGACGTAGATGCTCCCTACCTTCAGGTGTATTGAAGTCCCAGTCTGGGCGGGTCAAGGGAAAAGCTGCATCGATGATATTTGGGAGTTGGGGTGGCCTCCCGTCATCGCCCGGAATCTGCTTCCGGGCCTCCAGGAAAACTCTCTGCTTCTCCTCTACTGTTAAGAGGGTCTGCAGGAGCTGCTGACAGTCGTCCCAAGTCGGCCTGTGAGTCACTAGGATGGACTCAATTAGGCCGGTCAAGGCAACAGGATCCCTGGGGAAAGGGGGATTATGTTGCTTCCAATTATAGAGGTCTGAGGCTGAAAAGGGCCAGTACTGCAACTGATGATTCGGCCCCTCTCTGAGCAGGAAGGCCCTGGACTCATTAGGGGGGCCATCCTGGCGGCCGCGGAGGCGGCCGGCAATGGGGGACGGGGCTGCGTCCTCTTCTCCAGCCCCGTGGGTCCTGCGAGTCGAGGTGACTTCCGGATCTGCCACGGGCACGGCCGGGGACGCCGCCACCGGGGCGGCGGCTGGGGCCGCTTCGGCCGGCTCTCCAGGTGGTCCGGCTCGATATGGTGGTGGGTCCTCCGTCAGGAGATCTATAAGGGGGGTATGGGGGTCTGGGGGAAGGACTGGAGGCTTAGGAGTCTCCTTGTGAGGGAGCACGGGGTAAAGGGAGGAGTCCAGGTTGGGGGACGCAGAAGGCCCAGAGACTGGAGGGGGCTGCGGAAGGAAAGGCTTAACCCATGGAAATGGGTTCTCGACCAGTGATCTCCAGATGGCGATATATGGGACCTGGTCGGGATGCCCATAAGGGCTAGGGGCAAAAACCTTACCCTCCACCTGCGAAATAAGAGAGAGGTTAAAAGATCCCTCTCGCGGCCAGCCGACATTCATCATGACCCATTCGGCCTCGCAGAAGGTGATCCATTTCTTCTTCCTGACAATGACACCTTCATTGTTTCCTCGGGCCTTAACATCGGACCAGTGTTCCGTGGTTAGGCTCAGTGGGGTGGCGACAGCCTGTCCCATGGTGGTCTCTAAATAAAGAAGGGTTAGACATACAACGAGAAACAAACAGACAAGACAGACCACAGAATTTTTCGCTGCGCGGCTCCGGCGTAAAACCGAAAGCAAAAACTCAGATGGGGACGCGGAGTGTTTGAGTTCTCCGTCCCCTGCCAGTACCACGTATCCTTCTGATGCGTGGGTGGCCCCGAAAACCCGTGCCCCAGAGGGGACTTCAGATACCCGTGGAACGTCTTCCAGGGTTGCGGTGGGCGAAGTCCGAGCTTGTCAGCTCCTTCAGCCCCCACCGACTCAGACCTGACTTAGGACATCCGACGAAAACGAAAGACAAGTAAACAGACTGAGACAATACAGACAGACAGTGGCCGGCCAGCTTACCTCCTGACAGTGGGTCGGTGGTCCCGAGGCGGGGGGTCTCCGATCCCGGACGAGCCCCCAAATGAAAGACCCCCGCAGGAAGTCTTCCCTCTGGAGAGACCCTCGCCCAGAGATCACACCGAGACCACAAGTCAGATGCAAACAGCAAGAGGCTTTATTCTGGAACACGGGTACCCGGGGCGACACAGTCACTCCAGAAGCTCAGGAGGCTGGCGCGCGCACGGGCTGGAGTGGAGGGTTTTTATATGGTCGGGCAGCAGAGGGGCGGGTTTACAGGGTTCTGATTGGACGATACATATGAGGCCATGGTTTACAGGGTTCTGATTGGACGATTCATATGAGGCCAGGTTCAAGCTCAGGGCAGCTCGTGGTTTTTCCCCGAGCTCGACACGCCTGCTGACTTGGCTCTTATCTAGGGTACAAGTTGTTTTACTGACCTTTTAGTTCCCTGTTCTGGGGCCAGGTGGCCGGCCGCAGATACCCTGTTTGTTCCTGTGCTCATGTCCTCTAACTGAACTTTCCCCGTACTTTTCAGGCCTTGCTCAAAATGGCGTTAGGCTAAGCAAGTATGCTGGGGCCTTTCAAGATGATTTCAAGAGATTTGAAGAAAAATAATTATGTTGGATGCTTTAATTGCAGTAAACAAGGCCACCTAAAAGGGGACTGTAAACAGGGCATTCCTAGAAATGTTTCTTCAAGGAACAGTGGCAACATTGTTCTGGATTATGCAGAAGGTGTGGTAAAGGGAAACATTGGACCAATGAATGTAGATCAACAAAGGACAGACAAGGTAATCCTTTGTCTTTGCCATCAGGAAACTCCCAGAGGGGCCTCTGACAGGTCTCCATGGCAAATTCAGTTCAGTCCTTTCGTGCCATCATAGAAGAAACCTCTTCTCAGAGCAATTAAATAACCAAATGCCTGTTGTAAAAAACCATACTGCTCAGGGTGATAGAACAGCTATAAGCAGAGAGAACAAAAAAATCAGAAGAAACCATAAAGTGCCTTTTTTGGCAAACTTCTATAAATGAACAAAGATCAAAATTAAAAACACAAATAAATGACATTCTCATGGAGGGTTTTGTAGACATAGTTGCAGATGTAATAATAATTGCAACATAATCTTGACATCCAAATTGGCCTTTTCAGGAGGTATATTTGCTAAACTTTGGAGGAAGCCTCAGAAGGTGCTGAGAAGAGGGTTTATTCTGTTATGTTTGGGTGAAATGTTCTGTAAGAATCAGGTTCATTTGGTTTATTATATCAGGTAACTTCCACATTTCTCCTTTTTTTGAGGACAGTACATTGGTGAGAGTGAGACTGAAGTCTGCATCTATCAGTGAGTGAGTTTCAATGTGTGATTTAAGCTATAGAGGTGTTTGTTTTATAAAGGTGGGTGGCCTTGTGTTTCGGACATAGATGTTAAGAATTTAAATGTTATCTTGGTGGAATTTTCCTTTGATGAATATGTAGTGTCTTTCCTCATATCTTTGAGTTAATTTTTGTTGAAAGTCTATTTGATTTGATATTAAAATGGCTATCCCAGCTTGTTTCTTAGGTCCATTTCCTTGGAATATCTTATTACAAGCTTGGGGTAATAGCTATCCTTGATATTCAGGTGTGTTGGTTGTATGATCTAGAAGGATGGATCCTGTTTTTGGTTCATTCTGCTAATCTTTGTCTTTTTATTGGGGATATGAGGTCTTTGATATTGAGAGATATCAATGAACAATGATTGCCAATTCCTGTTATTTTGTTGTTGTTAGTGGTGATGGTGGTTTGTGTGTATGTGAGTGTGGGTGTGAGTGTTCCTTTTTTGTTTTTTTTTCCTGATAATGTAAGATTATTAGTTTTTTTGTGTTATCATGTGTGTAGTTTACCTTCTTGGGTTGGATTTTTCCTTCTAGTCATTACTGCAGTGCTGTATTTGTAGATGAATATTGTATAAACTTGACTTTATCATTGAATATCTTATTTTCTCCATTTACAGTGATTAAAAGTTTTGCTGGGTATAGTAATCTTGACTGGCATCTATGGTTTCTAAGAGCCTGCATCAAAAGTTTCCAAGCCCTTCTGGTTTTTAGATTCTCCATTGAGAAGTCAGGTTAATTCTAATAGGTCTGACTTTATATGTTACTTTGTATTTTCCTTTGCAGCCTTTAATATTCTTTCTTGATTCTGTATATTTAATGTTTTGATTATTATGTGATGAGAGGACATTCTTTTCTGGTCCAAACTATTTGGTGTTTGTATGCTTCTTATACCTTGATAGGCTCCTCCTTTAGACTAAGAAAATTTCTTTTTCTGATTTTGTTGAAAATATTGTCTTGGAGTTTGAGCTAGTATTCTCTTTCTTCTATTCTTATTATTCCTAGGTCTGGTCTTTCCATAGTGTCCCCGATTTCCTGGATGTTTTGTGTCAAAATTTTTTTTAGATTTAATATTTTTATTGACAAATATATTCATTATTCTATCGTATCTTTAATGCCTGATATTTTCTCTTCCATTGCTTCTATTCAGTTTGTGAAGCTTGCCTCTGTAATTTCTGTTTATAGTCCTAAAATTTTCATTTCCTGGATTGCTTCGGTTTATGTTTTCTTTATTATTTCTATTTTCATTTTCCAATTGTGTTGGTAGAGATTAAAGATGCTTTATTGAGTCCATGGGAATCAGTGAGATCCTCACAATATAATCCAGAAATCTTAGTAAATTTGCAGACTTGTAAGAAACTGCAAGTCTACTAGGTTTGCATCACTACATTTTAGGCTAATTATTGAATGATATACAGATACCTAATACCCTCTGCAGTACAAGTCATTGTGTTTTGACTGAAGACTATTCTTTTCTCAAACCTCATGTTTTGAGTGCCTGTTCCCATACTAGTGGCACTGCTTTGAGATGTTATAAATCCTAATTTAGGAAATGAGACATAACTGGAGGACCTAGGTCTCTAAAGTTGCATCATTCAGCAAATAATCCTATGCCTGTCACCTCTCATTCTACTTCCATAAATACCATGAAGTGAACAGCTCTCTTTTCTCATATACTCTGCCAGCAGGATGTTCTGCCCAAGTGCAGTGGACCAAGTAACCATGGTCTAAGCCCACTAAAACCATGAGCTAATATATGTTTTTATTCCTGTTAAATTGTTACAATGATAAAATTTTTACATAGGTAAGATATCTAATAAATAGTTATATAATATCATGGGGGTAGGCTGAGAAAATATGAAAAATATTCCATTTGAATTAATAACAAAGAACAATGAAGTTTGACAATTAAGAAAAATCTAAGATATCCCACCACTCCTAGCAAGTCACTTAAACATAAATAAGATTTGAATAATGTAGGGTGAGACATGGTGAAGTCTTAAGTGAGCTGTGAAAAGATTGCAGATCCTCAACTGACTACAGCTTTGGAAAGAATTTCTGAACTGCCTAGATGCTGAGTCCAAACTAAATTAGAGGAAAGGACATTTAACTGAAATGCAAGTAAAAATGGTCAAGGAGGAATATCATAAATGCAAGAAATAAAAAAGTGGTGACCACTACACATTCTGCTTACACTAAATGTCTTTGAAGTACTGTTTAAAAAGAAAGTGCAAGAGAAAATATCACTATCTGCAGAAAAATATTTTCTGCTTTTAAAGAAAAGGTCTTATTTATCTCAGGCTTCCCTTGAAATAATAGTTATATCACTAAGGATGATGTGGAGCTCCTGAACCTTCTACCTCAACCTTTCAAGTGTTGAGATTTCAAGCCTAAGTCAGAATGCCTGATTATAGAAAAAAAAATTGGCAACATCCAAAATGTATAGATTATTAAAATTGTCACTTTGCAGGAGTTTTTCCTTTAGAGAGAAGGTGAATAATGCTACGGGTGTAGTAATCAGATATGTGCAGATTTGGTCTCTAAGAACTCAGAGGGAGAAAGGAGGGGGAAACTGCCTTGTGATACAGCAGTGATGTAGGTACAGCATCCTCTAGAGTCCAAACACAAGCCTGCAAGACACTGAGACTAAATACCCACTTATATAGTGGGATTGTGGTAATAATCTGTCAACACTCTCAGCACAGGTTCATTGTTAGTAAAATCAGCACAACAATAGCTCCAAACATTATCCTTGGTGACAATTTCCTTAGAGGCAGGTATATTTCAGTACTCTCAACACTAAGCACTCAATCTCACCAAAATTTAGGAATTGGTCTAGAAAACATTGTTTTATTTAAAAATAATATTAGCAGCCATTCTGCTTTGATCTGTATTGAACTAATAAAATCATTTTTATAGAGGCTGGCATTAATCTCGATAACATATGCCATTGTTTAATTTACATTATCAACTATACAGATTAAAATTGAGCAAACATCGCATATTATGTGTATATATGGTCTCTTGTAACTTCTTTCCCTATTATTCATTCAGATAGATAGATAGATAGATAGATAGATAGATAGATAGATATAGAGATATTACAAACTAATGAACAGATGTTATGAATGTTAACTGACTCTAAGTTATGTATATATACAGATTACTAACAATATTATTTCTGACTCTTTTCCATGCTTTTTCTGGATGAAAGATCCTATTATTTGTACTGCATTTGATGTTAGCAAATATATCCTAAGGGCCATTCTATATAGTATGTTCATTGGAAGACATAAATATATCTGTTCACCAAAGCTCCAGTATTGATGACAATGCAGAGGAACAAGCCCATCTAAGTCTCACTTAGCAAGCCAGCGACTATACTCTTATTACTTACAATAACATACGTGACCAGTGACTCACAGGAGCCCCTTATAGAAATGTCCATGATACTATGCATGATGACTCATGAAGCTGGAATCCTTGGAACTCCCTGCTGATTTTTGAGGGAGCTAGTTCAGTTAGCCTTCTCTCTCCAGCAATGTTACCACTCGTTTAATCTTGTAGAGATGCCTGTGACTCTGGCAACTTTCAGAAACTAGCAAGTTTTTGAAGCTTTCTAACAAAAGAGCCTCCCTTTTGTCTTCAGGAGAAGATGCTTCATCTTAGAGGAAACAGCTATAGAGCAGGCCATCTGATGGATGCTCAGTTACACAGCAGAACCTTAAGGTTTAACTGGCTTGCTGAAAATGCACTGAGAACCGTATAGGACCTTTGTAAGTTGCAAATGTTACTATTGGGAAAGGCAGAACTGTTCAAAACTCTGAGAAGGTCTGCTTCCAAATAATGAGGCTTGTAAGAAAATGATACAAAAACCAGTGTTCCTGTTCTCCTTAACAAATATGCCCAGACTCTTGAATTAATTGTAACTATTAGGGCTGGTCATGTTTCTTGGGAAATACATATTTCTAATGGATCTCATGGTTAATTTGATGTTTCACAAAGAGATACAGTTAGGATTATATTTTCTAAAATTCTTTAGTCAATTTTAATGTGTAAAAAGAAAACCTAGTTTAATATTTGAAGATAATTATTACCCTACCTGATAAATCTGGCTTCATATGAAAAATAAGCATATATAAAGGATACATAAGTAAATATTTTAACTAGAAATCAAAATTTTCCAAATGTTACTACTCAAATAATACCATTATTAATTTGTTCTTTTGCAACAATGCTAATAATTATTTACACTTATCATTTAGGACTTTCTGTTAGTATATTGCAAGATAAATATTTTTGGTGTTAATGAAGCTTATTGCCTTTTATTCTTGTCATTTATGAAATGCATATTGATAATATATTTACAGATATTATATTATACTAAGGCCACAAGACAGCCATAAACACCTGTAGCACGAATCTTAGAAGGTTTTATTAGTAAAATCAAACCTGAGGCCAGTTATTGGGGTGAATGCTAGAAGATCAGAGAAGCAGAACAAGCCATAGCTTCCTCACCTCGACAGTTCCTCAGCTGATCCTGTTTCCCTCAGACTGGAAGCCTCTCAGTCCTCATCCAGAATGAATCTCAGCTGAACTGTTGCTCAGAAGCCTAAAAGCTTAACCAATCAAAAGCTTCTAGTTTCTGGTCCTCAGACCTTATTTATCTTTCTGCTTTCTGCCATCACTCCCTGGGATTAAAGGCGTGTGTCACCATGCCTGGCTGTTTCCAATGTGGCCTTGAACTCACAGAGATCCAGAGGTATTTCTGCCTCTGGAATGCTAGGATTAAAGGTGTGAGTGCCACCATTTTCTAGCCTCTGTATCTAGTGGCTGTTCTGTTCTTTGACCCCAGATAAGTTTATTAGGGTGCACAATAGTTTGGGGAACACAATACCACCACAAACACATAAAGAACAAATGTCAATACATGGCTAGAATGCACTGAGTTATCTTTTTTTCAAAGTAGAACTTGCCTCTAACCCTCAACAGGTACAGTTAGCTGACCACATTCAACAATGACCCCATCTGGATCTGATTCTCCTATGGAGTTGAGATCATACTCTGCTTGGTCACTTGAGTTGTAAATGAAGTCTCACTGTTTGAATCAAAAGGTCTTATTTGGGATGATTGAAATGTTGTCAGAAACAAATTGCAGCAAGATGTGGTGTCTTCTTGCTGTAATGTCATCCCTGGGGAGACAAACGTGGGAGAATTAGCTGTTCAAGATCATCCTGTGCTACATTGAAAGGTCAAAGCCAGCTTATATATTACATGAAATCATGCCTCAAAAAAGAAAACAACAACAAACAAAACCTGCATGGTATATGTGTTGGAGCTGGGCTACATATGAGATCCCATCATTATGTCCAATCATAGTTTCTCATATGGTCTCCATTTGCTGTACGAAGAGACTTCTTTGAGAAGGGAGTGGGAGCTGTTTTTACTTGTTGGTATAAGGATAAGATTTAGAATGTAGTTAGGGATTATGCTGGTCAAGCTAGAGGCCGGTGGTTATATATATGATTAAGTACTAACGTC